AATAATAATAGTAATAATAATATTAATAATACTCCTAATTATTTCAGAAAAAGACTGTCAGGGAACAAAATTTTTTTTTAATAAATAGAAAAAGAGCGTTTACTTGCTGTTATTTCCTGAAGTTCAATTAGCACAAAAAGTGAAACCAGTTTGTTCGATTTAGGGCTTTTGACCGCTTGTAATTTCAGCATTTTGTTATTTTCTTTGAAAAGGAAATATGACATGCAGTAGAATGAAATTGAATCCAAGTGGTATTTTCAATTTACACAGATTTGAAGACAAATTGAAGCTAAAATTGTCATAAGTAAATTTTTTACACTATCTTGACATTTTTATTATTCATTAATTTTAGATTATTTATTTCAGGTATCAAGTTTAAACTGTAAATTCCAATAAAGTAGTTGTCTAATTAATTGGGTTGAAAAAAAAGAAGAAAAAGCTTATGAACGTATATTCAAAGTAAAACAAATTAGGTTCGACCACCCAATGATTTGTGATGTCAGCATGATGCTGTCAACATAATACAGGTGACAGTTAAACTTCTGTTAATTATGCAAAGAATGAAATTTCCTCTATTTTGATTCAAAAATAAATAGGAGTGATCAATGATGATCATTGTGTCCCATGATTTTGACCGTCGATCGATGATTCACTGAGCGATTATTTGGAGCAAAGGTAAGGGTTAAATCAGTTATGATTCTAAAAGTTACATAAAAAAGAAAAAAACTGCAAAAAAAGAACAAATTATCATCACCGTTTCGCATATTACGGTTTATTTGAATGTTGCAAACACTGGAAAGTGTTTGGAAATGGAATTAAATTATTTTTATACTGCAAAAGAATCGCTGCTATTTAACCATCAAAAAAAGAAAGGTAAGTAAAAAGTTAAATGAAATGAGATGTGAAAATAAAAAATGAGGAACTAATAAAGGAGTGGATGAATAATAAATTTAAAAAGTAATTTAATAATTCAAAAATTTGAAATCTATAAGAAAAGTGTCTAATACTTTCAAATTTATTTCAATTTTTTTAGACAAATTTTGGGAACCAAAATCGATGGGGAAATTTAGCAAAATCCAACTATTTACGATTTAAAAGAAATTCACATATGTTTTGCAGAAGTATTCACATCCATATTTGCAATACGATGTGATGATGATAAATTCCCGTTGCGTAATCAATTTTTATGGTTATTGAAATTTGTAGATTTTCTTTTTTTTTTGATTTCATACCGCCAATTGTACCGGAATGCTTCCTAAATTCCGATCCTAATTGATACATTTGGTGCACTTCAATTCTGCCCATCCTTTGAAACAGGTCCTAATTTGCGGAATATGGGAAAAGAAGTTTAATAAGTATTTACAAACTTAAACTTTAAAAATTAAATTAAATTAAAAAACTTAAAAAAACCTAAAAAAACTTAAATTAAAAAGCTTAAATTTAAATTAATTAAATTAAAAAGAAAAAAAACTTAAATTAAAAAGTTAAAAAAAACTTAAATTCAAACTTAAATTAAAAAGCTAAGCAGTAATAGTTTGCGTACTTCATATTTTTATCACACATTTATTACATTTCAGAATGATTAATACTGCCAGTGTTATCAATGAACAAACAATTCCGATAAATATATTCAGAATGAAGTAAATATTTTTGCCATATTTAATGCATCAAAAAAAAAGCGAATAAATTATGCAATAAACAATCTTCATCAAAATCAATTCCCCGGAAAAACCGCTTAATTACCTCCATTTAATATTTTAATAGTATCATGTGAAAAATAATTTATTTACATTATTATCTTCAACACAATTCACTATATTCGCCATATGCATCTCATCAATTATTTCATTCTGTAAAAACATTTCAGGATTTATCGGACCGACTTCATGGAAACAACCTTACAAAAGCTGCATGCTCATAATATACCTTTCCTTTATCTTTCTAGTCAGTACTAATCAGTAATCTGCCTATCACTGGCATCGTTGGTAACTTAGGACTGAAGAGATTTATTAGGATTCTGAAGAAAATTAGCTATAACCTGTTTGGTAATGCTAGGGTAGGCAACGATCGGCTCAATCACTTTTTTTTTCCACCTGCCACCGTGAGTATTGACAATGATGAATGCGAATCTCAAGTAGATTCATTGCATAAATTTCGATTTCCAAGTTCATTAATTTTCGATCAATTACTGCATAACTCTGTTAATCTTCCGAAAAAACCTTTGAATATTTTTTTCTTTCTTTTTTTTCTTCCAAAAGTAAACAAGAAGAATTACAGTTATGATTTAAAATCCATATTATTGAAAAGATAAGCTATTTCAGCAAATGCCTCCGTCCATTCCATTTCCAACAATTATCGTCATCCAAAAATGACGAATTCCAAAAAACCCTAGGGCATATTGTGCGCCATCTTGTCACATTATACTACCTCTAACAATCTCCAGGATACAAGGACAAATACACCTTTACATACCGCGATGCATATCATGCCTAAACTTAAGCAATCATGCAAACGAGCATGATAATGGATATGTCCTTGCAAAGTTGTGTTCAACTGTCGTTATATTAAAATGTTGTCGCTTTACATGATGGATGGATTGTAATCCAAATCAGAACAGGGAGACAAAATATGACTTTAATACATTCTATTCTTCATTTCTGACTTCAGCTATACTACTACCATTTGTATAATATGAGCATACTAAAAGCGTGCAAATAATGATACGAAAAATGCCATTTGACCGACATTTGGTATGTCCACTCAACTCATTCCATTGGTGGACATCAGGTAAGAAATAAGTAATTTAATGCATTTTCTTTCTTATTCATAACTGATTAGTAATCCATTCAATACTTGCAGTAGTAGAATGATAGAACTAATGAATAGAACGCATAATTTGCCCTACTACTTGGTTTGTTTGATCCTGCCTCCATGAATGATCGGTCTGGTTGTTGAATGTATGCTCGATCGTTTCTATTAGTAGTAGTAATTCAATTTAGTGGTGGTATTCTGCCCTGTAATTTTTTGAGAAGTTGCAGTTAAACAGCCAACAATATGCACCGACAGTGATGACCTGGATCTCAAACAGATTTGTTGCATAAATTCCGATTTCTTATAAATTTCAATTTTTGGTTGGTCATAAGCACTCCTCAAAATTTCACATCAAA